TCTCTCTCTCTCTCTCTCTGCGTGCCTTTTCCCATTCCTCCCCTCTCCTCCTTTTTGTTTGTGTCTGCTGCTGCCTCCTCCCGCGTGCTTTGTTGCTCTGCCCCTGCTGATTCATCGTTGTTGCTGTTCCTTGGAAAATGTGATACATACTTACCATGCCGCAGCATTACTTGGTCTTCTTCGACCGATTTGCCGACTGCTGAAGTCGCATGACATTGGTTTGCACCTCCGATGGGCTGAAGTTGCGCATGTATTGGGCAGTCAACAACATGTTACCAGCAAGACTCTAAGACGCTGCAGGCCCATATGTGAGCATGAAGTTATCGAAACATGTTACAGGCCACAAGCCTGCGCATCCTTGTCGGCGGAACGCTGCGTGACATCTGAATCTGAACTGCTCCAAAAAATTAGATCAATGCTGTGCGTAACATCCCCATTTAAACACGGCGGTGGTGCTGGACGTGCAGTACTGGAGCTGCCACTTCCCCAAGGGTTCTGTGTGCATAGCGCGATGGAGGGCTGTCATTTGTTGTGGGTATCACTGGAATGCATGTTTATTGCACTCTTTTGGTACGCACTGCGAAGTTGTCAAGTAGACAGTGATCTTGTGAACCTTTCAGCGGGTCCGTCGGGGCTACCTCGAATGGGCCGAGAGGTACCCATCATCATAGAGCAGTTCACGGTTTTCGCTTTGAGGGTCGCGAAGCAGCTGCGACAGCAATCAGGCTTCAAGCACCAATCCAAATTATCTTACTTCTGGAAATCGTTTGACATAAACCTTCCTCGCACTTCGTTATTGACTCACCTCGCAACTCTCTTGCAGCAAGTGATTCCCGCACGGGGTAGACGTCATCGATCAGCGTGCTTTTCTCGGGCAAGGTTGTGGTTAGGGAGGACACGTTATATTGCTGTCCCGCAGGGTGTGCCAACTCCTGAGAAGAGATGAGAAGAGCATGCGTTCCGACATTCAGCAGGGTGGCACTTGTTGGAGCGTGGCAGTGGTCTAATTCCTTCAAAGTTTTACCTCCTGCTCCTTGAGCAATTGGCTATATTTCAGTAGTCATGTCTCGACGTTGTCAGATGACTGTAACACTTGAGGTGTAGCTTTCAGCAGGCTTGACGGTCGCTTTGGATATATGCACTCAGGACCGCACGGAGCAGATTTAGGCAGGATACACAGGTCTGGAGCCCGTTCGTTGAGCACCGTCCGCACTGTATCCTCACGAAGTACCCGAGCAGCAGGATGCACTTTTCGTGAAGTGCGGTAACAGTTAAAGGGCAAGATTCGCGTGCACAGGCGTGCTACCTTCGGTTTTCTTTGTGGTTGAGATGCTTACTCGTACTTCGTGAGGTGGCTGGACGATGCTTAGTAGGTGCGCTCACAAGAGCACAGCTTTCCCTACGAGTCCGTGGCACTATCAAGAGCTCAGCACCTGGTTTCTTTTGCAGCCCGGGGCGAAGTATGACCTGCCTAGCCTGGAGTGCTACCAATTTCCAATGGAAAACGAGCGCACGTTGTGATCATGCGTTACTGCTCTGCAAAGGACTGAACTACGGCTTCTTGTCTCCTCGATTCTGCACGTGTCATTGACCTATGTCCTTTCTTATTATCTTACTGCTGCTGCCCCTGCTGCGGTTGCTCTGCTTTGCATGGGGCCATGACGCTTGCGGAGCCCCATGCCCCGTTTGCGTCTTAACCCTTCGGGGGCGGAAACAACGAGGGTGCCCGCCTCTTTGCCGGGAGACGACTTCTCTCTCTCTCTCTCTCTCTCTCTCTGTACCTCAACTTGCCAGGAGCCGCGTTTTGTTTCTGGATAAGAACGCAAGCGGTACAGGCACGGAGGTCTGAGGGGTTTCATTGTTACGAAGGCCTTGGCGCAAAGTGCAAGCTTCGACGGCAGCAGCTGGCTTGACGCAGGCTGCGGGGCATGCGCTGTGACTCCTAGGCTGTACTTGAGGTTCACAGGGCCTTTAAGGCTCCAGGAGCTCTGGATTTGTTTATCGGGCCTAGCAGGGCTTCTTGAGCCATGTCGGGCCTTGCCTTTGTCCAATCAATTTTTCACATGCACGCCGCATTAGAATTGATACGGACTACGGAGGCGGCTCTTGTTCCAACATCTCTGGAAAAAGACTCCTTCGGTAGCCTTTGACGTCATCTTCCAAGCTCCTGTTTCCATCAGGTGTAGTTGTGGTTGGACCGGACTCAGGTGCTCTTCCGTGATTGCCTGTTACATTTGAAGCATCACCCCCACCCCGGCTTGCGCAAGAGATTCACTTGGGGGCTTCCGAAAATTAGGGGTACCTTATTTTGGGGTCCTTATATTAAGGATCCTATTTTTAGGGTACTATATTACGGTCCCCTATTTTCAGAAACCCCCACGTAGGACCATTGCATGCTCCCGAAAAGGAGAGCTCCTGAAAGACTGATCACTGCGAAAACCGTTTGGAGATGTCCTTTCTGCTGACAAGCTTCGTCAGCGCCTCCACTTCGACCCGGACGGCGCTGCTGATGAGATGGAAATTAAGGTTGATCACGAACCATGAAGTCAACAGAAAAAGCACTGGCTGCCACAATCAAGGATGAGCCTCATTGCGAGTTTGGGCGACTTCACAAACGAAGGGCTGCTACAGGAGCTCATAAAGAGCCTCATTGGGCCATTGCAGCGGCGGAAATCTCGGATTCTTGGAGTGTGAAATCCTCGAAGGCTTCAAGGCTTTATGGCTTTAAGATGCTTTAAGCATCTTCAGGGTTTCAGGGTTTAGGGTATGGTGCTCAAAACTCGGACAGCGCGGCACATCTGACCAAAAGACTTGCAAACAGAGTGACAGCAGCAACGTGGATAATGATGATCTGACGAGATCGCAAGGACGACATTGACAGCAACTGGAGTCACTAGCATCATCAAAAACATGGCCATGGCGGCGGTAGGCATCGTACGAATGCGCCCGTAATGATGATAAGACACACAGCACAAGTACTCTCATTGCGGCTATCACTAAGACAAGTACAAAAACAAGTGCTCGCATCCATGCTCTTCATGAAAGATTCGTCAGAACCACTTTAAACTCCAAGACTTAGCATCCTGGTAGCATTCTGCTCTGATTCGACCATTTGAACACGATGCCTTCGAAGCTTTGCCGCTCTTTTGGGCCTTCTCTTCCGGCTCACCTGGCGGTACGACCCCCCAATACACGCACGACGATCCCGCGAAAAAACTTTGGCAGCAGGGACTTGATGCAGCTAGGTTTCAAACCCTGAAGCCAAGCACCTTGAAACCTGGGAGCTCAATAATGCAAAAATGTTGTGAAGAATAGTTAGCTGCATTGATACGGTTCATAACCAACGACCCAATGACGCAAATGATTAAACCCTAAACCCTAAATTCGTCAAGCCTCAGTGTAGAGCCAGTGTAGGGCATGACAGTCTTATGGTTGCTCTTGCGGTTGTCGCACTCTGGCTGCATTGCAACTACCCACTTCTCAGAGGTCGAAAGATTCCAAGCTAATTTCTTAGGCTTTAGATGTCGAGTTTCGCAGCCCATAGTAACTAGTAAGTAGAGCGACGTTTTTAAAACACTGCGTCAGGCATTGAACCCTGCAAAAGCTCTGAACTTCATGCAAGCCGTTGATCTTGTAGACGACGATGGCCACTGATAGTCTTGAAGACACCGAAGACATCGCCGCAGGGAGGGGCAGCCAAGGCCGCCCACTTGACGCAAGCATGCACACCCTCTTCCCTTCGGAGGGGATAGAGGGATCTGTTCACAAGGCAGCGGGGCAAAGTCCTAAACCCAAAGGGAGGGAAAGGCAAGAACTCAACCCTATGCACGACATAGTCACTTCATGCAAGCCGTAAGCCTGAACCCTAAAACCCAAAGACAATCTGTCATAAGCTATACCTTAAGAACCCAAAACCTACTTTTTTGTAGGGTCCCTATAAATCCCATGTTAGGGTTTACAACACGAGCCTACAAAAAAGTGGGTTTTTGGGTTCTTAAGGTATGTCCCTAACCCCAAAACCCCTCAAAACCAGGAGGCTTCCAGATCCAAATCCTGCCTTCCCGGCTCTTCTTCTTTTTCTTCTTGGGTTTCGGCTCCTGGACGCATGAGGGATTGAGGTTTGTTGGGTCTTTGGGAGGTGCGGTTTGGAGTTTAGTTGGGAGTCAGGATTAGGGGACCCTTGGAGATATGGACCCTCTCAATAACGTCCCTTTTCCTACAAGAGAGCATACCTGCACTTGAGGCCTTGAATGGTCGTGCCCCTGTGTGAAAGTGGAGGTCAATCCCAAGCCGAGACATCCTTCCCCAAAGAAATAATAGGCCCTAACCCCAAAACACCCCCGACTAAATCTCACACCAAACCTGACCCCAAAACCCCTAAGCCCTAAGCCCTTCCAGAGGCAGGCAACAATCTGAGACATCCAGAATCCAGGGCCTCCTCCGCGGCCTCTCCGGACTGCTCGGCTTCCTCCGTCTGCACGTACTCCTCGTCCTCGCATTGCGGAAGCTTGGGGGTGTCTTTGGCTCGCGAAGCATAGCCGGTTTAGGGTTTAGGGTTTAGGGTTTAGGGCATAGCCTCTGGTTGGGGTTGAGTGCTTGGGGCTTAAGGCTTCTAGCTTGTGCTTACGTCAACCAAGGCTGCAAGGATGCAGGTATGCGAGGTATAAAAGCCAAGGCTGGTAAAACCTTCAATGAAACCCTGTAAACCCGATACCGGGCCCAGAGGAGAGGACTACCCGTGACTACCCAAGGTGAACATCGACAAAGGATCCAGAATTGGCGCAGATCCACGAGGGGCCCCGGAGTAGTCCTCATCGAGGTGCCGGTTCTCCTCCGTCTCCTCCTCCTCCTGCATTCTTGAAACCAGGGATCCTTTTGATTCGTGCCGTCTAGCTGGCAGCGCGACTGTCGAGAATGTCTAATACATTCCCGCAAGGATTCGCTGCACTGAGGATCCTACGACTGGGAGTCTATATCGTGAATTTTTGGTTTGTAGCAGCTTTTCGGGGCCTTTTCGGGCCTAAGCCCAAAGCCATGAACCCGCGATCTGGGCTTCAGGACATAGGATCTGTTCTCTCAAGACCCGAGCCTTCGAAACTTCGAGGGATTTGCGTCGACTATGCGTTCGGGATTCGGTGTCATGGAATTTCCGTACAAGCTGTCCACACAAAACATCCGCAAGCATACCAAAACCATGCAGTCTCACAGCTTCGCAGAACATGATGAACCGATTACAGTAGACTACCATCACGAAAGCGTGTGTACGCTCACAGTCAAACGCGGACGTCCTAAACCTCAACTGAAGACCCTCTAAGGCCCTAAACCCTTTTTTTGCATCCAGCCTGCAAGAGCCTCTGCTGGGAACCTAACACCCT